ACTAAATAAGAATCAAAACAGACCAGGAAGGTAAGTTACCAAAACGAATCAGAAGACCCTGAACCGGTTCAAGTTGGCCAGTAAGTTTTCGAAGAAAACAATCTCAGCTTTGTGTGACACTTAAACTGGTTCAGGGTGGTTGAATCGGTTCAAGTTGGCCAGACTTGAATTCTACCAAAAAGCCTCAAAAGTTGAACCTGTTCCAAAATTCTTGAACCATTTTAAGTTGGGCAGAATCTAAATACTTCATAAAACTTGTGTTTCAAACTTCAAAACTTCCTAAGTGTTCTCACACACTCACATATCTTTCTAAAGTATTGTTCTCTTCATTCTGGAATGTATTAAAGCATGAACATATGAACTTCTTCAAATTCGCTTCCGATCTTCAATCTTGAAATTCTGAATCAAAATTTTATAACTCGATCGGACTTATTTTGACAATAAAATTAGCCAATTATAAAATATATATCTCACAATATAAACCGAAGGATAATATAGCCAAAATATATTGCTCTGATACCAAATGTAAGAAAAACTATTAAGCCCAAAGAAAATCGCATTACCTCCAGCCATGAAATCTTATTGGTTAATGCCTGCAAAATAAGGTGAGAAATCCCAAGATGTTCACGCCTATACAAGTCTTTATGCGTGTACTTGATGGAGACGACGCAAACTGCACTTGTTAGGTATGGGATCTCTGTATGAATAAAATCGAGAGAGGAGAGTGCAATTCATCATACAAGCCTTCCTTTTATTTTGATTCAAAATGGCAGTTATTAAACCACCGTAACTTCCCAAAATCCACGTAGTCGTAACTTCCCAGCAATGTTGTGTCAGTCTAAATGGGTTAGAATATCAATATATATAGTGTGGCAATGTAGGCCATATCACGTTTTTAATGAATAAACGTGTCTACAGTTGTGGCATATTAGGCTGTTATTTTAATATTTGGAGATACTATAAATACAGGTGATGTTGTGTAGAGAAAAAGTTTAGAAAAAGATAATTCTAGGGAGAGAAAGTGAGTTGAGTTCATGAAAAGAGAAAGAGCATGTAATCAAAGTGGTGAAATGAAGACAGTCGTCCTTTGAGGCAATTTGCCGAATCACGTAAATCTCATCTTGTTTATGTGTGTACTTTTGTCTGTTTTATCTGTTGAATTTGACAATAGTGCGTGTGTGATCCTAACAAAAAATGTTGTCACTCACTCCATACGGATATATATAAATATATTTTATATGTGTGTACGTGTACACATACATATTTGCAAGCAAAATATATACACTTGTAAGTTTTAGTTTAATTAAAGTTGCCAATTTCTTACTTATTCTCACTTTGTATGACTTGGGATGAGAATAATATTTTTTAGTCACTATGAGAATATTGAACTAAGATTCAAAACATTTAACTTTAAGTTGGGCCATTTTTTTTCCTCTTCTTTTTCGTCAATTTGTTTTTACAATTTTATAAGCTTAATAACCGTATTTTGTTTCTAAAATTTTTTTTACTGAATTTTTTTTTACAAGTAATGAAATATTATTTCAACCTTTATTATTACAATTTTTTTATTTTTAAACTTACTATTCACTGGCCACAATGTAGTGCTGATGACGTCACTGATGACTGGTGTTTGCTTAATGGGATTGGACAACATTAACGTCAATAATAAAATCAACTAATTAAACACAAATCTGTAAAGTTTTAAAATAAAAAAGAATTATTATATAACAAAGAAAAGTTTGAATGATAAAAAATTAATGGTGGAAGCAAAAGTAATCTATAATTTGTTTATTAATCAAATTCAATTTGTCAAAGTCACGCTGCAATGAGATGGAGAGGCAAAGTTAATACACAATTTGCATGCTTATATAATTAATATATTTATATAAATGGTTAAGTACACTCATATATATATATATATAAATATATAATTAATTGGGCATCATGATTAATATTATTACTATTCTGGGCAAGTAATCAGGAGCATATTTCTTTGAGTTCACAATTGGTTTTTCTTTACCAACGAGAAAGAAGACACCTGAAGCAAACTTTGGGGGTCAAGTAAAGTGGGTATCATTGGTTTTTCAAGAATTAACAAACATTCTTCTAACTATGAATTTTCAATACCAAACCACTATGACTTCTATTGGTTTCCCGAAGAAGGGTTGTGAAGTTTCCATTAAAATAGGAAAATAAATGAATTTGTGTTCACACCATGCAAAGAAAAAGTCAATCTAATATCTTTTGGGCCAAGAAATTTGTAATATGTAATGCGTGCGGGTTGTGAAGTTTCCATTAAAATATGAAAATAAATTAATTTAAGTTCACACCATGCAAAGCGAAGTCAATCTAATATCTTTCGGGCCAAGAAATTTGTAATATGTAATGAGTTCGTAACAATCGAGTAAACCTTGAAAATGTCAAAAAATGGACCCACCATTTAGAAATTTCATCAATTTTCCCTTTGTGCTAGAAGAAGAATAGCTGCTAATTGGATGTTTCACACAACTCTTGCATCATGTTGCGTGTGTGTATATATTATATATATATATAATAATAAGAAGAAGAATACAAGTAAAGAACAAACATATTTACATATTTCGTCTAAAATTAAGATTACAAGAACAGAATTGCCTAACTTTTACTATTATTAAGAGCAAACGAATAACACATTGATAAGGATCACCTCTCCACTATACTTTTTTAAAATTAGCACTACATGGTAAGTAAGAAAATATTAAAATACTATTAGGCAGTGTTTGGCGACATGAAATTGAAAATTTAAAATTAAAATTGTTTGAAATTGAAGAAAAGTAAAAATTCAGACTAAATAGTGTGAATACTTAAAGGACAAGACTTGCCTACTCAACGGTGAGTAGGTCATTCCTACTAATTGCTGATGTTGTTCAATCACAAATACACAAATAATGGTTAATTACAAATACACAAATAATTGTTAATTACAAAACTCAGGGAAGTGATAAATAATGACAATAATTTTTATTTTTTATTATTTTATTATTTTTATTATTTTTATTTTTTTATTTGTAATAAATTCAATCACCTTCTCTGATTTCCTTATTTATCATTTTTTAGATCTTGTAATTAGCAGACTATTTGTGCATTTGTGATTTGGCCATATTAATGGTCTATAAATGATTCACTCACTTGTGAGTAGATAAGTATTGTCCAACAATTCCCCAAACCTTCCTAAGGTCAAATCTAAGAAATACAAGCCGAAATCAATCATAAGCAATACCTGTTTTATGAACTCATCTTCTTCTGTTCCATTTAACATGAGCCAAGTTCATGAACCCGAAACTCCAAGAGGATAGCCTAGTGGTACCTCATGTTTTAGTGGTTGGGAGTTCGAATTTCCTTTGAGCTATTTTAAAAAATTATTTTGATATATTATTACTTGGTGTATATGAGACAGAGGACAACATGTGCTATGTGATAAATTACTAAATTATGAAGTGCTCTAAAACATCAGCCACAACCATCCTTAATAATAATAATAAAATTGTAGCCAATTCCAAATACAATTCCCTGTTTGGTTTAATTTTCAAAAAACAAAATTTGAAAAAAATAATTTTTTTTACCTCCTACTTGTTACACACATAACCCTCCCATGAAAATAGAAAAATAATTTTAAAAAACTATAAAAGACAATTTTATTTTATTTTATTTTGTTGACAACCAATAAGTTTTTATATAATTTATTTTTATTTTTTATTATTTAAAAATTTAAAATTATTTTCAGAAAGCTCAACCGAACATATACCCAACAAGAAATCGAGTATGTTTGTCTCTCTCTGTACTTCACTAATGTACAATTGGGTACGGTTAAAGCAATACACAAAGGACGGTGATGCATAAATTGATCATGTAGACACACCACACACACCAGTTGGTTGTTGAATGAGTTTTGAATAAAGTTCAAACCTGATCCAAATTGGGCAAGACATTAGCCGAAGGTGTGAGATTATTAAGACGTATAAATATGAAGAGGCTAATAATTTGCTTGGGTTTAGGCTTTCTCAGAACCAGCCCCAGTGTGAATAGGTGGATTTAGACCCACTAGAATATGAGTTGAGGTCACAGTGGCCCAATCATGGTCCAATCCACTCAACCCATACCACTAAAAGCAGTCCAACTTCTCTGTTTTGGTAACATTATGCACCCTAGAACTGGAATTGGACAAATAAAGACAAGTTCCACACAACCAAAGATAATTTGAAATTGAAATTGAATAAATAAATAAATAAATTAAATAGGGCTTGTCACAATCGTTTTTGGTTTGTACTTTTATTTTGATATGCACAGAAGTAACGTTTCTAATTCAATACTATTTGGACACTAACGATATATTTGTTGCAAGACTTTTGAAAGCAAAAATATAAAAACATGTTTGGTAGAAAAATATTGTAAGTATGAAAAATAAAATGGTGACTTAAAATTGTAATTTAAGATTTTTTTTTTTTTTACTATTCATCGTTATAGTATTTTTGCTATGACGTGGAAGCAACTGGAAATACTAATTTACTTCTGATTTTGGCCTCTTTCTACAAACGTTACCAAACACGCTTCCATGCTTTGCTTTGTTACGGTACACTGTCTGAAACAAAAGATAGGAAACAAAAATGGTTGCTAAACTATTGTAATGGTCATCCGGATCCGATGTGGGACAAATGACCTTTGTTACATTCTCTCCCATCCAAACTACCAGGACTGCAAACCCGGACGCTCTCCGGATCATGCGCTTGACATGACACCGGATCAAGAATCAATTGTAATGGGTGGGCACTTGTCCATTTACCCACTAGCTTAAAGTATTGCATATCTACCCATTTATACCCGATCATTTTTCCATCCGAATCAGATGTGGGACAAATGAGCCTTTTACACCTATCCATACTACCAAACATAGATCCAATGAAATTATGAGTATTTTCCACAAAAAGCAAACCAAATTGTTGAGAAACAAAACATCTGAGATCTCAATCAAAGGAAAAACAATTTTTATTCCTTGATCATCAACGTGCTAAAAACAAACTTTTCTCTATTACAACAAACTTAGGTTGTAGATTACTGGATTTCAACAGGAAGAAAAGAAAAAACACACAAGCACACACCCTCAACTAGAATACTACTTACTAAAGCTAGCTACTATCAAGAACACAAGCAAAGTCCACTCAGGATCTATTGCTCACATCCCTTACCATACCTTTGTTTGTTTTGGGTTAATCTGATTTCTCATTCCTAATCAGTATATAAACTTGAACTTGAACACTAGATTTCTTGCAACAAACATAAACTCATCCAACTTTCCGGCATTTGTTGTTTCTTCCACTTGATTGCTGGCGCACAGTTGCGCTGTTGCTTGGTAAAAAGTCTGTTGATTCTCGAAGTTGCTGCAAAACCAAGCACAAAATCGTCACTCAATAAGATTAACAAGCAAAGAACTTTTACCAGAAAGCAGAAGAGTGAAGGGAAAAAAAAGGAATATAGAATCAAACTGAAACCGGAACAATGCGTTGATACGAAATTATCAAAGCTAGGGAATAAAATCTGGGAATCTAACGGCAAGCAAAAAGAATATGGGGGAGTGTTGCCACTAGTAATAGATTAGTAACAAAGGGTCCTTATTCTTTTCCATTACATTAGGTACCCTAAATAAAGGTGCATACAATTATACAAATAAATAGCATATTTTTTGTTCAGAGAAGTGTGTGCACTACACACACAAGTCTACCATGGAGACAAGAATAATCTCCTCTTTATTAATCACCCTAGCTGCTACAGCTATGACTAAGCTAAAGCCGTTTGTTGCTCGGCATTCTATCGATCTTCCTTAGCCAATGGAAGTAAATGCAAACCAGAAAGCATAAACATGAAGCATACTGAGTAGCATTGCTTATTTGATTTTCTACTAATTAAAAGGAAAGCAATAAGCAAAATACAGAAGCCCATGAAACACATACAGAAAACAAGCACAAAACATGGCATATTTTTTTTCCTCGACTATCCGTACGCATTCTATCAAAAATTTTCATGTTGTAGTCTTGACTTGAAAGTTGAAACTACTGAAAAATTTCATGAGTATGATTCACAAATACTATAGGATTAACAAAAATTACTTTGAAAAGGATGCCCACTCTTGGAAGATGACATGTCTAAGCTTCAATTTAAAAACAGAATTGTTATTCCTCTTGAAGCTGCTAAAAATTGTGAGCCACCCAACAGCAAGAAAAAATTACAAAGTTACAACTTCCAATACAATCCATCCAAAAGTGACACACATGCTATCATGGTCACATGAACACCACAGCCCCATCAAGGGTATTTACCAGATGCGAGTGGTTCGACATATAACCTTAATGTTATAAGAAACAACATAGCCTAGGATCTGGAAACACGTGGTAAGGTGTACAGTACTATTAGGCTCCACACTTCCTATATTTTAAGTGAACTGAGAAAATGTACTAGCGTCGGTGATGAATTATCCTGATAGTGTCCAAAATGATCAAGAAGCTAAGCTAGGTGTATTCTTACTGCACAACTACTATATTTTTATTTAGGCTAGACTTGAAACTGACCACATCTACAATAGTTATCAAAGAAAGGGAAGCAAATGCAGAGTGAATTGAATACTTAACATAATAGACATTCATCACGCATATATATATGGTTTAAGCACATAATAATCTGCTAGAAAGATCTATTTCATCACAAGAAGCCATACCTTGTCTCTGAAATATTTGATGATTGTAGTCAATATCTTGTCTCCCGTTATTTGTCTTACTCGCTGTACCAATTCATGCCGCGAGATCCTCTGCTCCTGCAGAACAAATTTCGAGAAAACAATGTCATAATAAGGAGAGAGAAAAAGGCATTCATGTATTATGCCAACAAATGCAATTTCAAGTACTTACTCTATGATCACTGTAATGCTTGGAGATCAAACTGATAGTATGAGGAGGTAAGAACTTCGAAAGTGCAGTGATCAGAGTCGAAAATGGTAGCCATGGTGAAGTTGGCATCCTCGGAGCATGTTGAATCCTTTGCCATCCTAATCAATTCAAGATACATATCAAATGAGTGCTTCGTATATTCTGAACTTCTAAAATACTCAGTGTGTGTTTGGGAGCATTGAATCGGCGCCCTTGGAATTGTTGAGCTAAATTTCAATTCAAATTTAAGTTTGAACTAAATTTCCTCCGATTCCAATTCTAAGACGCCCCGATGAACATAGATTCAAGCTAAATCGACTGGGGATCAAATTGCTCACCCATCACGCAAGGAGGGGCTCTGAAACTTAGAACAAACTCCGGGCAGATATGAGAATTCATATAGGTACTCCACACTATATACTTTTTTGGAGATGTAAGATTGTCTACACCAGAATCAAACTCTTCGGAACTTGGATGACTCTGCTGAGAGCCAGGATGGACAAGCTCCATCTTCCCCATAACGACACGACAAAACAGAATGTGCCTCAGACCATCCTCATCAACAACTGTGGACTTCACACTGTAACACAAACAGTATCCAATTTAACAAAAATATCAAAAATTATGCAAAATTTGATCAACCCTCTATGAGATTACACACAATAGACATTAATTGAGCTAAATTAGTACTTACCCTCCAAGGGAATGGTACAAAATTATACAAAAATTAACAAACATATAAACAAATATGAAATTTTAACAAACATATCAAAAATCATACAAAATTTGATTAACCCTTTCTGAGATTACACACAATAGACATTAATTTAGCTGAATTAGTACTCACCCTTCAAGGGAATGATACAAAATTATACAAAAATTAACAAACATATCAAATCAATATGCAATTTAACAAACATACCACAAATGATACAAAATTTGATCAACCCTATAGAGATTTACACAAAATAGATATTAATTGAGCTGAATTAGGACTTACCCTTCAAGGGAATGATTATCAGGAGTGAGATAGATGCCACAACCATACAACCCATTGTCCTCAGTTTTGTCACAATGACCAAAACCACGAGAAATGATGTTTGTGATCTCATCCTTAGAATCACCATACCAAGCGTACTTGACATTGGCATTACCACCATACTTCATCTCCATGGCTCTCGTGAAAACCCGAAACGAATGAAGCCGGGCTTTCGCTGTGAAGGTCGAGCAGGCATTTTTGCGGATGGAAACCAGAGAGGTTTGTGCAGCGAGCGAACCCAAACCCGAAAAGAAGCAGTGTTTGATGAGTTGGTGCTGCCTATCCCCTTCATCAACTTCATTCAAACCATTAGCACCGAAGCGTTGATGTTGCTCACAAGTGTTGCCATTCGAAATGCCACTCTCACAGTCCGAAACTTGTGAGTCTGGATCATCATCATCCATCCCTGAGACAGAACCACCACTTTCCGAATCCGATTCCGAAAAATGCTCAGATTCATCACCTGCTTCAACTGTGTGTGTGTGCGCGCTTGTGTTGTTTGGAACTGAACCCCTGAGCCCATTCACCAATTGCTGTGTAGTGTTGTTGTTCTCCATAGCTGATCAAATCAGAGCTCTGTAACAAAACTGAGGTAATTAATTGCAAACCTAGAACCTATTGAGCTAACTAGACTAATCCAACAAAAATACCCAAAAAAAAAAAAAAAAAGAAAAAAGAAAAAAAAAGATGAAGATTGAGATTGCTAAAGAGATATGAAGAGGGTCACAAATTTGAAGACTACTTACAATTGATTAGAGAATCAAAACAAGAACCATGATCAGATCGAGAGCAAAATTCAGATAACAAAAAGAGAGAGCTACTAAGTGGTTGAGATTTGGGAATGAAACAAATGATAGGTATGGCTAGAGCGTGTATATATACATATATGTATATATATATAGAATTGTAGATATTATAGGTGTAGATAAGGATGGTTATTTGGAGAGGAGAGGGAGCTGGTCATAGAAATAGGAAACCGCCTTGAGTGTGGTGGGCTTGGCGGTGCGGCCGCAAACTGATTTGTGGACCGTCGTTTTATGGCGCCCTTAGACGGTTACAAAGTGTGACTTCCCAGTGTCCGTAATTTTGAACCGCCTTTGAAATTACAACATTGCCCTTACGCTTTCCTCACACACTCTTGGCATGTGCGCTGTGTGTGCATCACTGTGTGTGTAGCACACACTTCGTCTTCTCTCTGGAGCTGTACTACATAAGATTTGGACCTTTGGTGGTCCCTGCAGTGCATTTTACAAACAAGTAGAACTGGGTATTAATTCAACTTGTTCACCAAGTCATTCACAAGTGATCAAAATGAACTTGGATTTGGACACATTTTAAAATATAACAGTATATCGTATGTGATTTCAGCGTTAACAGAAGGTTTTCTACTATGAAATTTTTAGTAGCAAAATGTTATATATATATATATATATATGTATGTATATATATTTTTTCATCCAAGTTTCTTTCATTGGAAAAAGTTGCAATTAGTTCGACCTTGTTGAACCATCCCATGATTGAGCTCTTTGCCTTTTAATGTTAATAATACACAAATATCAAGACACACTACCACGCGTTTGAAAAACGAATAATAGAGAGCACATTATCTGAATTTCGTGTCAGAATTATTTAAAATAGATCACATCTTGATATTATTTTTGTAAAGCACTTTTGCCTTGTACAGTATATATTTTGTTTATATATATATATATATATATATATTTATACATGATGGGACCATTTTAGTTTGAAGAACATTATGATGTGGCTACTATATTATACTGAGTATATATAAAGGCAAAAACAAAAAATAAAAATAAAAATAAAAATAAAAATAAAAATAAAAATATTGAAAATTTGGCATAATTTGTTTTTAATTTTTTATTATAGCGATAGATAATGAATTTTAAAATATACCCTTATATGATTTGTTCATATATTTTTATAACTTCAACATAATTTGGGTAAATTAAAAATATTAAAAACTATTCTTTCGGTCTCAAATTAAAAGTCTACTTTGGAGACTAATTTGAGAGATTAATTGAGTAGTACATGGGGATATTTATTTTGGGACCATAAAAAATAAAAATGTGGACATTTTTTTAATGAAATGAAGGAAATATAATTTAAAGAAATAATATTTGGTGTCCAAAATATAATAATTTAAAGAAGAATCATAACAAATTCATGAGTTGGACCTGATGATGAACTTTCTATTCTAAAATTTTTGGCAAAAGAGTTGGATAATATTTATGGAGAGAGATATTTTCCTTTATTGTTAGTGTAGCACTGATTGGATGGAAGTGAAATGCATGATCCGTTTCTGAAAAAGATTTATGGACAATGAGGTATGGAGCTTAATTCCATGGGTTAATGTCAGCCTTTTGTCCAGTAAGACAATGGTTTTAGAAATTTGAAAACTAACAAAATACACACACACACACACACACACCCCTTAGTTTATTATACATGTTTTTTTTAATTAAGTTGGTTTTCGTACAATGAAATGAAATGCTAACTTCAGCTTTTCATGTTCTTATTATCACTGTTTGGTTAGTTGCAAAGTTAATAACGTTTATCATTTTTTTTTTTTTGAATTATTTTATCATAATAAACCGTAAATAATAAATTAATTTAATATAATTTGTATATATAATACTCATTCCGTTTCATAAAAAATGTCAGGTTTAGAGAATCGTGACTCACAACTCATGTTTAGGAACCAAGACACTTTTTATGAAACGAAAGGAATATATATTACAAACATATAAAATCAAATATATTTCATAATATATACAAAAAAAATAAAAAATAAAAGTAAATTATATAATATTTTATGTATTGTATGATATAATACGTACTGTAGCATTACATAAAGTATATTATAAATACTATTATATTTAATATTATATTATACAGATATTTGAGGCTGTTAATTTAATTCAGTTTTCATTGACATTAGTAACTTGGAAAAATCAATTCAAAACTCATTTCACTTCAACTTTGTTAAACAGTTGTAACAAAATACTACATTAAAGAATAACCGTTTTATTCCTGAATTATTTCAGGATTGCATGTGAATGGTAGATTCGGAATAATTATTTATTTTTATTTATTTCAAGATTGCGTGTGAATGGTAGATTGGGAATAATAATATATTTTTATTTATTTTTTACTCAACAAGGAAGGAGAGAATGTGGTGAGTCGAACGTCAACTTTCACACAACTCGGGAGTGCCTCTACTTATAAAGTACGGATACGGACACAGACACCGACACGCGACACGGAGACGACACGACACACACACACACACATATATATTCAAAATCCATAATACCATACATCTAATCTCTCTAGAAAATACTATAATAAAATAAATAGTTCAATTCATCATCTAAGTAATTAAGAACCTAGTAAAGTTATCAACAAAATTAGACAAATAAGATCGAATACATTTTCAACATTTTAACATTCTTCATTCATCAATTAGTTCATTGTCTGTGCAGTTGTTTTTAAAAATTTTAAAAATTTTACTTTTAAGCATTTAAAATTACATTAGGTACCCCTTTTTTCTTACAAAAAAAATTCCAAAATATACTCTGCCTTGTCTAGTACGTGTCTTCCATGTGTCCCCCGCTTGTCCCATTTGTGTCCAGACAGTTCATCCCGTGTCCAATAAAAAATAATTTCTGGTTGGACACACGTGTTCATGTTCGACGCGGGATTCCAAAAGGAGTGTCCGTGCTTCATAGACCTCTTCTAATTAGACTACCCAACTCACCCCAAAAATAACGATTTTGTTCATGCACCATTTTCCTAGTAAATTAGTAATTCTGTATGTTATTTTGCAAGTATAAATACATCATATTCAAAGTTTCTTTTTAAAAATAGGTCATATTAAATATATATATATATATATATATATATATATATATATATATATATATATATATATATAGTTTTCTATAACTTCTTTAGTGGGCCTCCTATTCTCTTATATTATGATGGTATCTGAAACAGAGGGCATGTTTGGCTCTATTTTAGATTTTTTCAATTCAGTTTTTAAGAATTTATTTGTCTTCTTATTCTTTCTTCTTTTTTTTTTTTTTTTTTTTTTTTTTTTTTTTTTTGAGAGTAAAAAAAAATTACTTCGTAAGTAAGAGTACAAAAAATTACTCTCATAAATTGAATTAAACCAACCTATAATTTTTACAAATAATTATAAATAGGACTTTGAACATCGATCAACAATAAAAAAATATACAGCAATGGAAGGTCAACAATGGAAAATACCAGTACACACACAAACACACACACACACACATATATATGCCGATCATGTCTTATTTCATTAAAGGAAACAAGGGATGGATCATGGAGGGTACGAATATTTCAACAATTTGGGAAGTCTACTAATACGTTGGAAAGTAGAATTGATTTCCTTAGTAACATCGTCATCATCGACGACTAAAGAGTTGTTTCTTGGAGCCAAAGATATTACTGTGTTTGAATTGGTAGAATCCTTTCAGAGATCGAACATGTACATACATAGCTAAAATTGTTATACTAGTTGTTTCCACAGCTTCCTTTCACGTGATTAGGACGTACGTACAAATCATAGAATAGCTAAAATAGTTATGCATCACTGTGTGTGTGTTGCACACACTTCCTCTTCTCTCTGGAGCTGTACTACAGAAGATTTGGACCTTTGGTGGTCCCTCCAGTGCATTTTACAAAGAAATAGAGCATGGGTATTCATTCATCTTGTTCACCAAGTCATTTATGGTCCAAAATTATAAATAATATTTCAGATAGCAGTCTAAAGAGTACATTTATTATTATTATTATTATTTTTTTTTTTAGGGTTTGAAAACAAAACTGAAAGCTGAAAAAGAAAGGTATTAATAATTTATTTGGAATTTGAGAATCTCAAATGCAAATGGTGTGTGTATGTAATCTTTGTTTCACAAGTCAATTTGGTTTTTTACTCATTCATAACTGATCAAAATGAACTTGGATTTGGACAAATTTTAAAATATAACGGTATATCATATGTGATTCTAGGGTTAACAGGAAGGTTTTCTACTATGAAATTTTTAGTAGCAAAATGTTATATATATATATATATATTTTTTTTTTCGTCCAAGTTTCTTTCATTGGAAAAAGTTGCAAGTAGTTCGACCTTGTACCACCCGTTTGAAAAAGAAAAATAGAGGAGCACATTATCTGAATTTCGTGTCAGAATTATTTAAAATAGATTACATCTTGATATTATTTTTGTAAAGCACTTTGATTTATATATATATATATATATATATATATATATATACATGATGGGACCATTTTAGTTTGAAGAACATTATGATGTGGCTCCTATATCATACGGAGTATATATTATGCTCAAAATGTTACTCCATCTATTCCACAAAAAAATATATATATTTTTGAAAATTTTACAGAATTTGTTTTTAATTTTTTATTATACTATAGGTAATGAATTTTGAAATATACCCTTCTTTACATATAATTTTATAACTTCAACATAATGGGGTAAATTAAAAATATTAAAAAATATTCTTTCAATCTCAAATTAAAAGTCCACTTTGAGAACCCAAATCCTAACGTAAATTTTTAATTTGTGACGGATTGAGTAGTGCATTGTACGTTGAATTGGGGGGTATATTTATTTTGGGACCATCAAAAATGAAAATCTCTACATTTTTTAAATGGAATGAAGGGAATATAATTTAAAGAAATTATTTTTGGTGTCCAAAATATAAATTTTCTTCTGTCTCAAATTAAGTGTCGCATTTGACAATTATGAATTACTTATTTTGAAATCACAATTACCCAAAATAACATTTAATTTGAAACAGAGAAAGTAATTTAAAGAAGAGGTCATAACAAATTCATGAGTTTGACTCACGATAAACTTACTATTCTAATAATTTTGGCAAAAGACTTGGATAATATATATTGAGAGAGATATTTTCCTTTATTGTAAAAGGTCCTGGTGTAGCACTGACTGG